GCAAGGGCCCTAGCTTGAAAGAAATCCAGGAAGCCGAGGCTCGTAAGGCGGCCAAGGCTGAGGAGGTTGCCGCCGAGCGTCGCCGCCAGGTTCTCGAACAAGAGACCGCCGCTCTCAGAGAGCGTGAGAAGGCTATTGCTACTGCCACTGGAGGCCTGCCCACAACTAGCACTTGGGGCAACGGATCCCCGGTTTCAGCCGCTAGCCCCTGGACCAAGCCGGCCGCCACCAAGGCTACCCCCGGAGCCAGCACGCCCGGCAAGCAGAAGACCCTGGCTGACATTCAGAGAGAGGAGGAGCTCCGCAAGGTCAAGGCCAAGGAGATTGCTGTCCAGACCGGCCTGGCGACTGCGGCTGCAGGCAAGCGCTACGCCGATCTCGCCACGAAGCCTAATGCCGCTCCTGGCCTCCCGCAGCCTGCCGGCACTGCCCCTCCTCCTGGAAGCGGCTGGGCCACCGTCGGAGCCGGCGGCAAGGTCAAGGTGCCCACCGGTCCTGCCGCGCAGACCCGCTCCGTCAGTGCTGCTGGTGGCAAGACTACCCCGGTGATTGCGAAGCCTGTAGTCAAGCCTGTTGCCGCTCCCATCGCGGCTCCCCCTAAGACCGATGTCGCCATGGACGAGTTCAACAAGTGGCTCAGTCGCGAGCTGTCTCGGGGAATCACTGGTGTTGACAGTAAGTTCCACAGAAGTCTTTTACTCTTCAGCGTCCCTAACCAAGTATGCAGTCGATGTTTTCGCCGCTGGCCTGCTCATTCTGCCTCTTGAGCACGCCCTCATTGCCGACGCCATCTATTCTAGCTCGAAGACGATGAATGGACAGCACTTCGCCGATGAGTTTATCAGACGCAAGAAGCTCGCCGACAAGGGCATCGTGGAGAAGCAGATGTCTGGCGACAGTAAGGCTGGAGGCTCTTCCAGCGGATGGAACGAGGTTGCCAAGAAGGGCGGCCACAAGGAGCCCGCCCCTGCCGGCGACGCCGCCATCCAGGGTGCCGGCTTTAAGGTTGTTCCCACGCGCAAGAAGACGGGCAAGAAGATCTAGGAGAAGCTGTCAGACGAGCTCTGGACATGGTGAAAATGAGGCACAATGAGATTCATAAAACTAGCGTAATCATGTACTATCCGGCACGGCGATGTTGAGGAGACTCGGACAGCGTTATTGCGTATGGTTAGTTGTTCATGGCGGGGATCTCATCATGTAGCGTATCAGTGCAAGCGATAGTGTAGCATTGTCAAGAATCAGTCTTCCCTCGCAACGTTAAATCAGTCGATATGAGAATCTGTTGAGAGTCATCAGGGTGGTGCACAAGATGAGGGGCCCCACGGTGAGCTCGGTGAGGGGCCGGTGAGCTGCTTATGTAAAAGTGAAAGACAGCAGGTGAAAATTTGCCCCGCCCCCACCATGGAAATTTCGATTTCACAGGGCATCAAAACACCGCCAAAAAGCGCCGTTTGACTCACCGGCGACGAGATCGAATTTAGGAACCGCTATTTTCGGAGGTACCACTGTTTTGCTCCGGCCCATATTCCGCTAATCCGAAAGTTTCGCACCGTTCTGCCTGGGTTGCGAAATTTCAAAGGTTTTCTTTTCTTAAAAGTTACCCCGCCGCGGGGCAGACACCACCCACTATCGCGACATTCTCATTATCGCAACCGAGATCATTCGTCTTGCGACAACAACTCACCACATCATGGCTGAATCCCAGCAGGCACTGGCCTCGCTGCTCTCGACAGTCGCAGACGGCGCCTACGTCGACGTGCTCACATCACTCGTCGCAAAAGATGTTATCGCCAGATTCGCGTCCAGCCTCGCACAGACCAGCGAGCAGCAGCCGTCCGGATCTCTCTCCGAAGATGAGATCGCCGTCGGTCTTGCGGCGCTCAACGCCTTTTTGCAATCCAATGTCACCGGTCCCGTTCTGGAGAATGTTGGAAGGGTAGAGAAGCTCTTTGTTGATGCGCTTGCTGCGGCAGACACGTCCGCTGGCGAGGACACACTCAAGGTCCTGAGGAGGAAGAGTTTTAAGGAGTTGGAGGTTGACGGTGTCTCGCCGTATCCGTATATCCCCAACATCGAGCTCTTCGCCCTGGCACGACACATCTTCACCGCATCCGCCCCTGAGGATGTGGTGACTCTCTCCGACGCCACGCGCCTCAGCATCCCGTGGACCCGTCTGCGCATCAACGTCTGGCACTTCAAACTCCTCAGCCAGCCCTCCCTCGGCCCCGGGTCCAACTTCGCCAAGGCGTCGCAGTGGATCGAGGTGCCCACGCTCGCGGAGCAGATCGCCGCCGGCCTCGACGCAGTGCGCAAGCAGCTCCTCGATGAGGATGTCTGGGCCACCGGCGAGAGCGCAGCCGCCTGGTCCCGCGAGGAGAAGGTGCAATTCCTGCTGGAGGCGGCGAATACGCACATCATGCTCGGCCGCGACGACAAGGCGCGCGAGGCGCTGAAGGAGGCGACGCAGTTGAACAGCTTCGCGTACGCGCTCTCTGGTGCGTTGGGTAAGAGGACGAAGTTTCAGGAGAAGAGCACCTCTCAGCTTGTCGTTCTCGCGAAGTCCGACGTATCAGAGGAGGTAGCGGAGGAGGAAAAGACCGGGCCCGAGGCCGTGGCGCTCAACGACGATACTCTCCTCGAGGAGATCCAGTTCTCCAAGGACGCGACGGGCAAGCACGGCGAACTCGCCGCTGCGCCTTCTGCGCTACCAGCCGCCCTCGCAGACCTCTCCCCAGACGCGCAGCCGCGCCTCTCGCCTCTGGACCAAATCATCTTGCTCACGGAGGCGACGCTGAAAGACACCTTCTCGCCGGTAGACACGCTGACTTCAGAGGAAGTCCTGCCCTACGCCGTTCGCGTGGTGTCGGACAAGCCGACAAACTGGCAAATCTACACGCAGGCCCTGCTCGTGCGCTCCCGCATCGAGGTCCACCGCAGTAGGACCGTCGAGCGCGGCGTGCTGCAGATGCAGGCCGTCGTCGACCAAGTCGTCGTCGACACCTCGGAAGCGCCGCGCCCCAAGGCCGAGGACGTCGCTGACTTAGACGTGCCCGCTATTGCATTCACATCCCCCGACACAACCACAACAACAACAGCGCAGCAACAGAAGCCAACCTCCTTCTTCCCCGCCGCAAAGGACACCGATACCGCGCCCGCACACGTCCGCCTGCAGTACATCCACGCCCTCTCCTCCCCGCCGCGCTGGCACCTCGAGTCCGAGCTCGCCTACTCCTGGGCCGGCGTCGGCTCCCTCGTCTCCGCGCTTGAGATCTTCAAGCGCCTGCGCCTCTGGGCCGAGGTCGCGCTGTGCCTCGCCTCCTCCGCGTCCGCCGATGACGAAGACGGCCGCGGTTCCGGGGGTGAGCAGAAGGCCCGCGCCATCGTCCGCTGGCGGCTGTTCCACAAGACGGGCACCCCCGCCGCCGTCGAGCACGCGGACCCCGATACGGAGCTCGAGGATGGGGAAGACGTCACGTACCTTAAACCAGGCGCGTTCGAGGGCCCGGAGCGCGTGCCGCCTCCGCCCAATGCGCCGCGGCTGTTCTGCATCCTCGGAGACCTTGAGAACGACCCAGCCCACTGGGAGCGCGCGTGGGAGGTCTCGAAGCACCGCTTCGCGCGCGCGCAGAAGTCGCTCGGCGAGCACTGGCTGCAGCAGAAGGACTGGACCAAGGCCCTGGAGGCGTACCAGGCCGCGACGCGGTGCAACCGCCTCAGCCCGGAGCTGTGGGGCCGGCTGGGCGACATCAGCCTGCGGATGGGCAACTTTGCCGATGCGGCGGAGGCGTACGGGCGCGCGATCGGGGCGGCGGGCGAGGTCGTCGGCGGGGAGGACGCGCGGACGTGGAGTAATCTGGGGAGTTCGCTGTGGAGCATGTACCTTGAGACGGTGGAGGATCTGAAGAAGAAGATGCTGGATGAGAAGAAGAAGGCGGATGAGGATGATGATGAAGAAACGGAGGTGGAGCATGCGCAGAGCGACGTCAAGGACCCCGCGACGCTGCTCTCACAGGCCCTGGCGGCGTACAAGCGCGGCGCGCAGATTGCGCAGGAGAACTGGCGCATCTGGGACAACGTGCTCACGCTCGCGTCGCGCATGCGGCCGCCCGCGGTGCTGGACATGGTCCTGGCGCTGCGGGCCATCATGCGGATCCGCAAGACGGAGGACGCGCTCGACGACGACGTGCTGCGCGCGCTGCTAAACGAGGCGCTGCTGACCAAGCAGAAGGCCGAGGACGACGGGCACGGGGTGTACACGCCCCCGCGCGGCACGGTGGAGCGCGCGGTGGTCGCGCTCTTCGAGGAGAGCGTGGTGCCGCTGATTACGACGCGCTCGGAGCTGTGGGGGCTGGTTGTGAAGCTGCGGGTGTGGCGGCGGGAGTATGCCGGCGCGGTGGACGCGGCGGAGAAGGGGTGGCGCGCGGCGATGGGGGCCGGGGCGGGCGGGGGGTTGACGGCGAGCGCGGCAGGGACGGGGGGCGTCGGGGAGGGGAGGAACTGGCTTGTGGATAATGGGGCGTGGGGGGTTGTGGTGGAGAGGACGGATGAGTTGGTGGGTGTGTTGGAGAACTTTGGCGGCGAGGTGGAGGGGGTTGGGAGCAAGTGGAGGGGCAAGGCGAGGAGCGCGGTGAGGAGTGTGATGAGTCGTGGCAAGGAGAGTTGGGAGGGGAGTGAGGAGTGGAGGGTGTTGGAGGGGCTGATGGAGGGGTTGAAGTTGTGATGAGAGAGAGGTGTTTTGCTAGTTGGATGGGATAGACAAAAAAGAGTATTCCGGTTTGATCAAAATGACATTTGCATTATTGCGGAGCTCCAACCGCCAAGAGATGGTCAATAACACGGGATCTTGCCGAAGAGCAGTGATGATTTCGTTTTCTCAGATCCAAAGACGAAGAACTTCAGAATTCATGAATATTCAACACTCGCCATGCTAGATTTAATCCCGTTATCCATTCACCTCCATCACATTACCATCGTATCAACATCTTTACCATACACATCTAGCATCCCGGCTCCTTCTGATCCCGTAAAAGCACCCAGCCGTTGTCTTGCATCCGTAGTCTCCACTGTCCCAGCCCTTTCGTCCCTAGATATCGATCCTGCTCTTGAACGTCCATTGGGGCCATTCTCGTCTCCAGCATCTTCTTTTCCGACGAATCAATAGCAAAGAATGCAGGAAAGGTCGAAGTCTTGACCACATTCAACCCAGCCATCCTCGCCTGAATCAGCGCAGCTACCAGGACAATCGTCGACAGCACGACCTGGCACGAGATCAAAGTCATCCACCACCAGCGCACCTTGACGTACGTCTCGCTAACATACGCTTGCCCCGTGATGTACGCCTGTTCCGTCGTCAGGCTATCACGGAGACTATTCGTCAAGCTCCTCGCCACATTATTCGTCACATTCCCAACCGCCTCGAAAAGCTGCTTCTCCGTCCCGTTCCGCTCCCGCCGCACCACATCCAGCACGTTCAAATACCGCGACGGCGCCCGGCCGCGCTCGTTCTCCGTCGTCGGGTACGTCCCGTTCATCGCGCTGGACAGGCTCTCGATCAGGGGCGTCAGCGCCGTGCCGCCGTACGGGAACGCCACCCCCGGCTCCTGCGGGACCGTCACCGCCTCCGTCGTAACCTCCACCTGTTCCTTTGAAGTCGTCGACTCTGGCACCAGGAACGTGCCCTCCTCCACCTCGGCGGACGAGTCGATCAGCGTCCGCGAGAAGACGTTGTTCTGGACGGAGACGTTGTAGCGCTGCGCGCACATGTAGAACATGACCTCCATCGCGCCGGTGGTTTTGGTCGTGGTGAAGATGACGGTGAAGTTGAAGAAGGCGGACTGCGGCACCTCGGCGGCGGGGAGGAGGGACGCCTGGCCGTTGTTGAGGCTTACCAGCCCGGTGAGGGACGGGGCGAAGTTGGCGAGGGCGCCGTTGGGCAGGGAGAGGCTGCGCGGGGTGCCGGTGTTGACGAAGCGGCTGCTGTTGCCGTTGTAGTTGTACGTGAGCTGGTCGGTCATGTTCCCCATCTTGGTGCAGATGGCGAGGGTGCTGAAGACGCGCCAGCGGCACTCGGTGGTGGGGCAGCCGGGCTGGTCGAAGGGGTAGAGAGTGTTGGAGTCGTGGCTGAGGCCGGCTTGGATGCTGGCGTCGTAGGTTGCGCCTTTGATGTCTGGGGGCCATTAGTATGCAACCACGCGGGCATGGCCGATTCAAGAGAACAGATCAGGTAGACTTACATGGGGAGTACCAGCTTACTGTCATGGGATTCCAGAATCGAACTAAACGAGCAACGGGGGAGCTTGGTAGGATCGGAACCTGGCGCTCGGGGTAGGTCACGGAAGATTGTGTCAGGGCGGAAGTGAGCATGGCAGTGACCAATACGACCATCGATATGACGCTCAGAGGCCTAGATGGCGTCAGTATTGCTCGAATCATTGAATACGATGCACCACGTACCAGCCTTTCGTCGTTTTCACCAGCTGAAGACTCCCCCACGGTCCGCGACTAGCAGCATCGAAATCCTGAAAGTCCTTCAGGGTCCTCTGCTTGCGATACCAGAGCCACTTGAGTTGCGACAGGCCCTCGGACACCGGGATGACAAAGGCAGACCTTGCGACGGTTGCAAGCAGAGCGATTACCGTGTTGAGGGTGAGTCCAGAAGGCCAGTCGGGCAATTTTCTATTGTCGTAGTGGCGCAAGAGGATGTACAGAGCGCAAACTGATATGAGGCTGATGGCGCACCATATCAGCTCTTGCCACCATGCCAAAAAAGTTGCGTTCCAAGAAAGTAGCAGGTCTTTGTCCGGGTTTGGGTTTTGTTTGTCTGATATCTTTGGGGTGAGATCTCTTCTGTCGTACGAAGCTCCGGCTGTTGAGGAACCCGAAGATGGTATCGAAGCTTTCGAAAGCAAATTTGCGTGATTTCTTCCAAAGTTCTGCTTGCCATCGTTTGGCGACAGACCACGATTGATGCTCTCCTCCATCGAAGCAGGGTGTGATGGAATGTCCCGTGTATCCGAATGATGGACATTGGTGTCGTGTTCTGCGCCAGGAACGCTTCGGTATCCGCCTTCATTGATCCGCCAGGGGTTCTGAGAAAAGTCGGTAGGAGATTGATAAGGCGCCAGCTCAGGACTCGGGATCGAATTCGAGACACGTTCTGAGTGGCTTGCATTGTAGTGCTCCTCCGACTGCTGCGCGACAGGCTTCCTCCGAAGTTGGAAACCTCCAACAACCCCACTGTCCTCCGATTGCATCGCGAGTGCTGTAAAGAAAGTCAGCTACAAAAGCAACTTCATTGATTCATGAGATCGACGGACATTGCCCCACGGAATGAAGAAACAGTCTGGGGAAGTCGCGGGAGAAAAGACGAAAACAAAATGGAGCCAGCTCATGTAAAATTTAGGCTCCAACGCTTGGCGAGGGAAATACGCACATGTCGGTGTTGTGGGGCACGATCCTGGAATCGAAGTTCCAACAGACTTCGTCGCCCGGCTATTGGCCACACGATGAAATATGCCAGGGGGAACCAACACGCCGAACCCCCAAAAAGGCTCGCTTAGCTGTGTAATTGCAACGTTTCTGCAGCTCAGCTGCGCTCAGCCCCGTTGGGGGTTGGCGGATTGACGGGTTGCTTGCTCTTTTGAGGTAGCGTTCGATATTAAGATTAAAGAAGACGCGGGATTCTCGCCAGGGTAAAACAAGCAACTCTGTTGTCTTTTGAATATTCCTCCAATCCTCGTTATGCACGTGACGAACTTTGAAAGCAAATTCAGACGGCAGGTCAGGCGAAAAGACTGTTAGAAAGAGTCAGAATCCATCTATAGAGGATGCCATGCGTTAACATGTCTTTCGACTTAAGTAACTCAACTCTAGAGAAGTAATTGGCGGCTCGCGACAGCTGAGTTACCACGTAGTCGAAGTTCATTCATGTGGGAAAAGAACATCAATTGCCAGTGTCATCGTCGAGACTTCATAGACGTACCGAAAGTAGCAAAAGACCGCACAAGTGACAGAAGAGACTTGATGACAGGTGACTGGAGTCCTCCCAAACGGCGCGTAATAGACTCATGACGGCAGATATATTCTTCGGCTATGTTTAAGACGTGTTCCTCGCCTACTTGGCCATCACCTTACACAATTTCAGGGGAACACCGCTTCCAATTGGCCCTATTTTATCGCCATCAACGGCGTTGCGCCCTACTCTCATCCATTTCGCGGATTGATTTCATGATCCAGATAAGTCGATTCCGGCGTAGGCCAAGGTGAGCACTTGCACGGCTGTCTTGAATAATGCGATCTCGATGAACATCGCGGCTTCGCAAAAGAGAACGACGAGACGGATGGTAGAAGCGAAAATGAATGCTTGAGTCTCCTTCAACGACATAAGGTCATTGTGCATTAACAATTGGTCAGCTGGGGAACGATCCAGCTACCGGGTAAGGCGTAAAGCGCAACAGAGAGAAGGGTCTGGGGCACAACGGGCTACCGTATGCCGGCCCAGGCAACCAAGGATACTAAATCATCGCGTTTGAGAACAATGCCGCCACATAAGGGGACGGAAGCTTGGCGATTCAAGAGGAAGACCAGGCGAGGTGGGATGCCGTGGATAGCAAGCCTCGTATTGTGATTGGTTCGTAATAAAACACCCATCGCGCAAGACGAGATGATTTGTTTGCCATGATTCTAACTTGTTTGTCGACTTCTTTCTACTAACGAGAACGCCAATTACATGCCACTGAAAACCATGGCTATCAATACTGGTTGGAGGTTTTCTCCTGTCAGTCTTGTTTGTTGGCCGTACTCACCCGAACTTCGAAACAAGATGTTGACATGATTGAAACTTCGTCTCTTCCTGCGGCCTTCGCTGTCTGTGCTCCCAGACAGACCTTAGCTAGAATGTCGTATTGCCGAAGGAAAGCATCTGCCTGGACAAAACAAAACGACTGACTTGGATTGCTTAGCGCTAGTCGTGGGTCATGAGTGACGTGAAGACCGGACTCTTTGAGGGAGGAGGAGACACGAGAGATGGAAAAGAGCACTCCCGGAGGATGACGGCACATAGGCGACCCTGTCATCCCATTCGAGCGCTCAGGAGGGCTAGCCGGGGGAAAATCAGATAGGATGACAGCCTACGGGTTCAGTTTGAAACCAGGTCTGCAAGATCAGTCATCATGGTTGTGGCTTTGACTGGTGTGTGATTGATGACATAGCTCATCAAGATCTCCAGTGTGTCATTAGAATTTACACTGGCGGTCAACGGGTGCCTCATAGCTGGTGCTCAGGGGCAGAAACCACAGTCTTCTGAAGCTGGGATATTGTTGCTTGCACTACGGGTTGCATGACTAATGAACCGACTAGAGTCCATCGCACAAATCTGCACGCCCTTAGAAGCGGACCTGTCTTGAAAAGAAAAAGGAAAAAAAGAGAAGAGGTCGTCGTTTTAAAGACGAGCCTCCTTGGGGGCATCAAGAACTATCCCAAATCCCAAGGGCTCCACTGTCTCCACCGTCGGGCACTTGTCGTCCTCCGAACTGGCACTGCATGATCTGCATAACGAGAACCGTAACACCCACTGCAAAGGCTCTGATTCGTCAACGGGCGTTCACGATGGAGATGGGGTGGGTCTCCCCGCGTCACATCGTGGGCGGGAGTTGTGCGACAGGGAGTCCGGCGGTCTATTCCGAGATGTTTTACACGATGCCTTGGACGGGAAACTTGACGACTTCAACAATTTTTTTGATGGACGCGGATTAGATAATACGGACGGACTTTTTGACCTTGGCGTTGTCATTTTCCCTCTTCTTCGACATTATAAATACTCTTTTCAAACTTGGAGTTCGTCTTTTTTCTGAAGTTGGTTCATCGCATCAAGGGTTTAGGTCTTTCAACACTTCTTTTGACAAATTCTTCCTTCTTTGGCTGGCCAACATGGAATTCCTCCAGCCACCGAAACATTTACTCAGCACTTGGGCAGAGTCATCTCTGCTCAGGAAGATGGACGTCTGGACATCGTTATGTCTGGGCATCATCCTCCTCAGCGTCTTCGCCGTCGTACCCCACATGCGCAAGCCATCTCGCAAGCTCCCTTGGATCAACCCCCCAGAGTCACTGGACTTGTTCAACAGCGAAAGAAAGAAGGGATTTCTGTTGAATGCCAGAGGTTTGATGGAGACTGGCAGGAAGAAGTTTCCTGGCCAGCCCTACAGGTTCATGACGGACGTCGGCGAGACCGTCGTTATGCCGCCGGAGTTTATCCACGATATTCGCAACGATCCCGGGCTCAGCTTCATGGATGCGTTCGCGGACAACTTCCACCCCCAACTATCCGGATTTGATGGTTTTGCAGTCGGTACCAGGCCCGATCAGCTGTTCCAGGTGGTCATCAAGAAGTCCATCACCAAGTTGTTGAGTAAGTCGTCTCCAACTCCACGTCAACTCTGGCAGTCTACCCCACACCCCACATTGCCGCAACTCGCTCCTCCACATTGCAACGGCAGCACTGACACTCTTCTCAATCTCTCAGACCAGATCACGGAGCCGCTGTCATCCGAAGCCAAGTTCGCCGTCGACCTCCGCTTCGGAACCTCCACGGGTAAGCCTCCGCACCATAGCGTCACATCGCACCGACTAACACGGGTCCCCCGACACACAGAATGGCGCGAGTTCAACATCAAAGCCGATGTCCTCGACATCATCTCCCGCCTCTCCTCCCGCGTTTTCCTCGGCGACGAGGTATGCCGCAACGAGGCTTGGCTGGAAGTGACCAAGTCCTACACCGTCAACGCCTTCATCGGCGCCGAGACGATGCGCATCTACCCCAGCTGGCTGCGCCCGCTCGCCCAATGGTTTGTCCCGCAGTGCAAGGTCCTCCGCCAGCAGGTTGCCGACTCGCGGCGCATCATTGAGCCTGTTCTCCAGAAGCGTAGGGACCTGCGGGCACAGGCGCAGGCCAAGGGCGAGCCGATTCCGAGGTTCAATGACGGTCTGGACTGGTTCGAGGAGGAGAGCCGCGGCGCCAAGTATGATGCTGCCGGGGCGCAGTTGGGGCTATCTGCTGTTGCGATTCACACGACTACGGATCTGCTCGTGGAGACGATGTTGCGGATTGCGGAGCACCCTGAACTGTTTGATGCGATAAGGAAGGAGATTGTGGACGTTCTCAGCGCTGAGGGCTGGAAGAAGACCGCGCTGTTTAACATGAAGCTGACGGACAGCGTCTTGAAAGAGGCGCAGAGACTCAAACCGGTCACTTCAGGTTGGTCATCAGCCTTTTCTATTCAAGGTAACTTCGAACTGACATCTTCGGCAGCCATCATGTCTCGAGTCGCAACCCGTCCAGTGACCCTCCCCAATGGTCTCCAACTCCAAACGGGCGAGCGATGCGTCGCTGACCTTGGTAGGATGGTCGATCCCACAGTCTATGAGAACCCCGACCAGTTCGATGGATACCGCTTCGTTCGCATGCGAGGAACCCCGGGCCTGGATGCCCAAGCCCACCTCGTGAGCACCTCGCCCGAGCACATCGGCTTCGGACATGGAAAGCACGCATGCCCCGGCCGCTTCTTTGCAGGCAATGAGTTGAAGATTGCGTTGGCGCACATTATCATGAAGTATGACTGGCAGCTTACCCCTGGGTACAAGCACCGCTGGGAGGAATACGGATTCGGATGGTCATCAGATGGTATGGCCAAGTTGCTGATGAGGAGGAGAGAGAGTCCCGAGATGGATATTGACAACTTCTGAATGCGCCCAGCGGCAGTCTGTTCTGTTGAATACCAGGTTAAGTTGCATGTGGAGGCATATTTGCTACATGTATTGGATAAGTCAGTGGAAGGTCCCCGCCCTTCGCCTTGTACGATTGCTGCGTTTTGAGATGAGTCAACGTACCCACTTCCGAAACACCCCCCCATGCGAAACAATAAAAATGCCTCACCGCCACCACCAACCTCCCACTTTCACTAACAACAATATTTTGAATCCTCATCCAAATAACCTCATCTTTCGCACAGCAGTTCCTTTTTGCAATATGCCTCAGTATACCGAGTTTGAGATTAGCCAGGCGATTGAAGCTATCAGCAATGGCAAGAGTCAGAGGGAGGCAGCCCGTCAATATGGTATCCCA